TGGGGAATTTTAAAATGACAGACCTACTAGCTCTGTATCTAAAGGTGATTTGGGTTTTTAGCTGACCAGAAAGAGGGCAGTGTGTCATTTTTGTTTTGTTAACTTTTGTTTTTATTAATACGTTAGTTGTACCTAAATTCTTCATGGAGAGTTGGTACCTGTACATAGCACATCATAAATCTTTCTACCTCCCCTCTCCTGTCTCCCTTGTGTCACCAGTTTTAAGGAAAAACATGTTCCCATTTTTTCCTAAAAGCTAAAAATGCCTACTCACTTGAAGTGATGATCTGCTGATGCCATTGTTGAGGGGTGGGAGGGAAAGCAGCTGCGGAAGAAAGCCCCCCAAAGCTGACCACACCAGGAGGCCAGGGCCTGGGATTGGGAAGCATCTCTTCCACTGTGTTTATACACAGTGGTACACAGCTCCTATACTGGCTTTGTTACAAACACACATGTATGCACGCATATATGGGGAATTGAACCCAGAGTGTTTCCACTGTGCTATATCCCTAGCACACCATCCCTCTTTTTAGGGGGGACAGGGTCTTCCTAGATCATCTAGTCCTTGTTCAAACTTGCAATCTTTCTGCCTCAGCCTTCTGACATACGGGATTGCAGACGTGCCACCATACATGGCAGACATTTTAAACACAAAGCTGCATTGCCATGCCTGGGCGCCAGTGAGCCACTTGTGTCCTCATGGTCTAGAGCTCTGACTGACTGATGGCAGAGGTGTCATTGACCCGTGATCAGAACCCCAGCTGGAGCTCTGCCTACTGTGCTTGTGTTCAGTGCCTCAGCTGGAATCTGGGATGGGCTCCATAGTCTTTTAACTTTAACTTTTAAAACTGTCACAAAATGTAAAACCTCTCTAGTCCATGAGCAGGGTCCTCAGTGTTCTGCCTGCTGACGCTCCAGCAGGGAGGAGGCAGGAGGCCTGGGGAAGTGGGCCCCAGCGTGTGTGTCTGAAGTCATGGTCCTTTTCCAGGTGGTTTGTGTTAAGAGAGGCTTTCTGTTTGTTTTTATCTTCCAGTTTTCCTGCACTACTTCTACAGATGATATGCAGCATTTGGAATCCAACAGAGACTACATTTTTTAATTCAGTCGAATCGCTATCTGTTAATACTTGTTATATGGAGTCCTAAGATATTTTATAACAGAGTTTTTAATTAGTGAAAAATTCATCAATAACATAGAGAAAATATTTTAGAATTTAATGTTTCTTCTATTTTTGTAAACTTAGGACTTTTCATTTATATAGTTACTTACTTTTTCATCTATGTTTAGATATCTCTGGAAGCAATTCATGTTCTTATATCTAATTTTAGTCTTTCAAATGAATGTACTGTAGTGCTTGTATGTATAAACCCTATGAACAAATACACGGCTTTTGTAAATTGTGCACATATTGTAATTATTACTATTTAACTTTTTAATGATAAGCCATCCCTGAAAAAATTAGTTTACTACACTTTTTTTGTCTTTTTTGTTTTTATCGGTACTAGGGATCAAACTCAGGACTGCCTGCTTGCAAGGCAGGTGCTTATGCCACTGAGCTAAATCCCCAGCCCAGTTTACTACATTTATAAAATTGTTGTGACATAAGCAATGTGCATTATCCTTCACCTTGCTCTACATCAGTCATTTTAAAATCAGGAGACTTCATTCCAAGCAGTTGTCATATTTTGAGGTTGACTGACCTTAACTGTTCTTTTTTTAGCAAGAAATCAGAGTCTAATAAAGTCGGGACTGAACCGTTGCACCAGAGCACTATAGAACTTTCTTAGCACTGGTTCCCTTTTCCCCATCCTGTCTCTGGACTTGGGGAGCTTGTCTTCAGAGACTTGACCAGAAGCCATGAGCTTGGAGCTGCTCTCAGCAGGGCTGGAGTGGCCAGGGGTGGACCCCAGCCTGGCACCTTCCCTGCCTCTTTCCTTTGAGCATGTGGAAGGTGCCTCCAGCTATTCTTAGAGGACAAATCACTGAGCATTGTGCTCACATCTCACAGACATTGGTGCATGAGCAGATGAAAGCAGGAAACCCTGAAAATAAAGTTGTACAACTCTAACTAATCAAGGCCTTATTTTTCATATGTGAGTCACCTTTTTACATTGGTTTATAAACATGTTTCAACTAGTCATACATTTTTAGATCTTGATGGCATAGCCATTTTGGATTGAACAAGTAGCAAATGTAACTTGCTTTTCACTGGCATATTAAAAAGCCAGCAAGGAAGGAGTCAGATCATGGTCATTTATTGTGCAACTGACACATAGGTAGAGGCAGCATGCCTTTTAAATTTAGTTTCTGCTTACAATTTACTTGTACAATCCATATTACTGTTCTTTTTCTGTTAATCTTTTGTGAAATTTCTGAGTATGTAACAAAGTATACAGTCTACTTTTGAACTATTTTAATTACAGTATTATTTATTGCTTTCTTTCAATAAAGTTCTGAAACTTTTTTCACTGCCAATGAAGAGTTCTTTGAATAGGCCAAGATTTTGTTAAAAGTTAAGTGCTGCTGGATTGTGTGTGTGTGTGTGTGTGTGTGTGTGTGTGTGTGTGTGTTACCAGACATCGAACTCATAACCTCATGCTTGCCAGGCAGGCACTCATGACACTGAGCTAAATCCCTGTCTCAGGCACAGCTGTTTTGCTTCCTGCTCCCGGCTGGTTCTCTGAAGGTAGTGTCGCTATGGAAATCAATGGACAGAAAGCTGGATGACATAAGTGTAGCGGGGCAGGAGGCAAGAGAAGAAGGGGTCCTGCTGGAGACTGGGCCTGGTTAGACCAGGGTAGGGAGGTGCTCCCAGCCCAGTAGGGGGTGGGACACTGACAAGCTCAGCTTTGCCTGTGTCAGGCCTTTGTTCACACATTATTACCCTTCTGTTTTCAAGTTTCACATGGGTTTCAAGTTTCACATGGTAAATTCCCCCATGGAGACTGATAGATGACTGGAAGGCAAAATCACTGACTAATCATTCTCACCACAGAATTTTGGCGAGGAAACGAGGAGACATAAATGCATGTGGGATATTTACCCCAAGGACCCAAGAGCCATGGCTGCTCGGGCCCTTGTAGAAAATACATCATATTTGTAGAACCTGCATGTGTCCCTGCATAGATGCTTTGAGTCCTCTCTGGATAACTTACACTTAATACAGTGGCAATGCTATGGGAATAGTAGTTTGCTCTTTAGGAGATACACGAAAAAACATTTGCATGTATTCAGTACAGACAGGACTCCCCTCACCCCGGTGCTGGAGGTGGAGCCCAAGGCCTTCACACTAAGCTCTGTCCCCGGCCCTTTGTATTTTGAGGCGGTCTCAGTAAGTTGCCAAATTGCTTAGGCTGGACTTAAACCTCAGCCTCACAGTGCTGGAAGTGCAAGCACACATCACCAAACCAATTCAGATGCAGATTTTAAAGAAATATTCTCAGTCTGCAGTTGGTTGACTCCTTGGATGTAGAACCCACAAGTACAAAGGGGTGGGTGCGACTTGTACTTGCAAGTACAAGTACAAGTAGGTACTACTTGAGGACAGTTTTTCAGACCCATGACACCTGACAGAGCAGGAACACACAGTGGGAGGAGGTAGCAGAAGGAAGCAAGCAGTTCCTCTGGGAAGTCCTGGAGAGTCCTCACCTCTACAGCTTGCAGGGGTAGCTCTCAGGGGTGCCTTGGGTCACCTCCACTCAGCCCCGCCTGGGCTGCTCCCAGATGGAGGGTCTGAAATCTGCTCACACTGTTTGGCAGTTTGTTCAATTCAGGCATCCTATCGTCCTCTAGGAATCCACATGTGAACTGTTCTCACGCCTCAAGGACCCCAATGAAAACCATCCTGTGTTACAGGAGAGCCTCACTTGTCTCACCTGTCCACAGTGTTTGCCGGAACTGGCTGATTAGGCTCCTCCCTGGCTGATGGGGTCCTGCTGTTCTTGTCATACATTGTCATACATTCCATGCACAACAGCCACAGGGATCTTGGTACAGTGCAAGCTCTATGAAGTCTCTCCTCTGCTTGACTTTCTCCAAAGAAGTTCCTATTTCTTTGACAATACACACCAAAGTCCTTGCTGTCCCGCGTCAGCTCCTTGATGACCTTGTTCCATCTCTGTCATTGACCTGGTGCATCCCTGCATCCTGGTCATGCCCAGCTTCTTTGACTTCTTCCCTAGCAAGACCTTTTGTGTCTCAGGACCTTTGAACATGCTGTTTCCTCTGCCTGGAAAACTCTTCCCTTCTCATCTTGTTCACTCCAGAACTGCAGATTTTGCCTCATATGTGAATTGCTCCGACATATCTGAATACCTGACTACCTAGATATATTCAGGTCCTATCTGCTCACCAGTAGAACTCTTATTAATTTCTTTATAACATTCGTCTCATTTCCATATATATATGTACATTAATGTGTAGGACCTCCTCCTCCTTTGGAAGGCTCCTGGGGGCCAGTCCCGCGTAGCGTGTTGATCTTACTATCCCTGGCACACATCTGCCTTCTCTGGGTAGACACAGGAATAACTGACAGATGAGTGTGTGCAGAGATGGCTAAAGAATGGAGAAATGGGTGTGGTTGGACAATGGACGAGTGAGTGAATGAGTGATGGGTGTGTGGGTGATGGCTGGAAGAATGAGTGGAGGGATGAATGAGGGCTGGAGGGTGTAGAGGCATGTTCCCTCCTGCAGAATGGTCACAGTCACTGCGTGCGAGTCCTCAGTGCTTGAGGGACGGGGCACTACTTCCCCCTTGTGTGGCTCATTTTTCACTTCTCGCCAGGGCGGGACTATGAGTTCAGAAACCCCAGGCTTGATTGTCTACTTTGCAGCTCTCTTAACATACCCGTTCTAGGTAAGGACTTCCTCCAGCCTCCACAGGCTGGCCCGCACCTGTGGCTTTCCAACCGCCCCAGCCCTGGTGCGGACAGGGGGCGGGGCCAGGGCGGGACCTCGCGCAGACCCGGATGCGGCCCCGCCCCCGGCGGACCGGAAGTGAGCGGGCTCTGTGAGAGCTGCGGGGGAGGCGGGACTGTGGCGGACCTACGGGGATCCCGTGGTGTTGAGCGGGCGTAGCTCTTGCGGCTGGGACGGGCAGCCCCAGCGGGCGGTGGAAGCAGCGCCCGGAACAGGAAGGAAGCGGCGGTCTCACCGCGCTTCCGCTTGCGGTTTTGAGCTGGTGGGGGCAGAGCAGGCGAGGCTATCCTGTCATGCATCCGCGTCCGAGGCGTCCAGCGGGTAGGCGGGGCTCGGGTTTCTCGGTAGGGGGCCAGGAAGTGAGGTGGTCGGGATCCCAGGCACTGGTGGAGCGGGTCTGGAATGGGCACCTGGGCGGAGGAGGAGCTCGCGGGGAGTGGGTCAGGACTCTGGGGCGGAGGGGCCTGGAGACCGAGGTGCTGGGGCCCCCGGGAACTAGGGAGGTGTAGGTCTGAGGGGGAGGGGCTCGCGGGTCAAGGGGCCCTGAACCCCGGAGAGAGACCCTGCACCAGAGGTGTTCGGGATCCCAGAGGGTGGCGTAGGTGGATGGGGTCCGAGTGGAGAGGCGGGGGTCAGAAGGGCTAGGGAGGAGGTGGAGGCCTGGAAAGGGGTGGAGGTCGAAGGGCGCTGTGTGTGGCGGTCGGGCCTTGGGCGGGAGTTCGGGATCGGCCATGCGCACCTGAGAGAGGTTTGTAAATGTGCCATGCGCACCTGAGAGAGGTTTGTAAATGGGGTCAGTTGAAATGCTGCGGCGCAGGGGAGCTGGGAATCTCGAACAGGCCCTCGCTCCTGGGTGTGTGCCAAGGCACCAGAAAGGTGCTTGGGTGTGTTTCGCTTCTGTGTTTCCGTGGATGGGACAGGTCTGGCACCAGAGCAACCTTAGCCGCCCAGCTGGAGGGTTTGGGTGGGAGGGGCCCTGTTGGGGCCACTGGAGGCGGAATTTCTGGTTTTGGCCATGCACCTGAGGTGCCTGCAGGATATGCTCAGTTTTGACTTGGCTGGGCGTTCTGTCAGGAGTGTGACCCAGGAGACCCTAACAGCTGATGCAGATAGCAGTTCTGTCCAGCTGGCCTTGCCAGGCTAGGCTAGGCTGTGGAGAGGGAGGGCTGACTAGTCCATTTCTGAACTACAGTGAGTCACCCACTCCAGGGCCTTGAGTCAGTGCTCCTTCTCTCTCTGAGTGGGGAAAGTATGTCAGAAGAAATTGAAGAAACAAGGAAGCAGCCTTAGGTTTTAGGGACTTTGAGGTATGCAGGAGTAAAGAGCTGGGGGAGACAGAGCTGTTTCTCATATCAGGTCTCCAGTAATTGTAAGTTTATCCTGTCTAATGATGACATCCTTTTTTTTTTTTTTTTTTTTTTCCTTTAGTGCTGGAGTTTTTAAACCTAGGGCCTTGAGCATGCCAGGCAAGTGCACTACTACCTCCCCAGCCTTAAAAAAATTTTTTTGAGACAGGGTCTTCTAAGTTGTGCAGGCTGGACTTGAATTTGAAATCCTGCTTCAGCCTCCCCCCTGAGTAGCAGGACTACAGGCATGTGCCACTGTGACTGTTGAAAGCTGACTTTCAGTGGAACCTGTTTTTAAATTTAGAGTAAACAGACTTGGTAATTCAGACATTTGACCTACCCCATGCAGTAAGTAGGTGCTCTGGCATGTGGTTGAATGTGTGTTTCCTTACCAGTGCCTTTAGTGCCCTGAGTCGCACTGTTCCTTGACCTGGGTGTCTTTCACTGGTGTCTGTGCCAAGCAAAGCCACTGCTATCTGCTTAGGCATGAACCCAACAGTATGTGCTCTGTTACAAGAGGCTTCCTCTGAGTTAGAGTGGGCCTTGTGACATCTACTGTGGCTGCAGATTCTTTTTTGCTCCCTTTGGCTTTTTTGTGAGCTGTCTGCAGTGAAGTTCAGGGAAAGCCGATTCTGAATGGGTGCTTTTACCCCATGTCTTACAGCATTCTTTCCTAGCAGAGTTTTTCACCCTGTTTATACAAGGCAGGATTACTTTGTCTCTCCACACTGTGTGTGTTGGTGGGGAGGGCGCTTTTTTTTTTTTTTTCAAAAGAAGTTTGTATTAATGGTGTTTGGTGACAGTCTTATCTTTGAGCAGTAATTTTTTGTAACAGTTTTTTTTTTTGTTTTTGTTTTTGTTTTTGTTTTTTTCGTTTTTATCGGTACCAGGGATCGAACTCACAACTGCCTGCTTGCAAGGCAAGCGCTTATGCCGCTGAGCTAAATCCCCAGCCCCCTTTTTGTAACAGTTTTAATGAAATATAATTTGCATGCCATACCCTCACCCATTCAGAGTGTATAAATCAGTGGTTTTCATTCTATTCTCAGAGTTGTGTGGCCCTCATCGCTATGCACTTTGGAACTGTGTCATTAATTCAGCAATCCTAGACTGGCTGCTCCTGTTGTCCCAGCTACTCAGGAGGATGCAGGATTGCTTGAGCCCAGCAGTTGGAGGCCAACCTATGCAACATAGCCAGAGCCGCTCTTTATGTTTTTCAAAAGGAACCCTGTACCCCAGCCATCGTTTCCCAGTCTCCCCTTCTTCTAGCCTGGGGCAACCATTATTGTACTTTTTGTCTCTGTAGGTTTGCCAACACTGGATGTTTCATATAAGTGGAATCATATAGTATGCGGTCTTTTGTGTCTTGCTTCATTCACATTGTAGCATGTATTATAACTTTATTCCTTTTTGTGGAGGAATGCTATTCCACTTGGTAACTGTATCACATTTTATACATCTGTTTATCTGTTGATGGACATTTGGATTATTTCTTCTTGGCTATTATGAATAATGATGTTGTGAATATTCATGTACAAGTCTTTATATGAACTTGTGCATTGATTTCTTTTGAGTGTATACTTAGAAGTAGAATCTCTATGTCATATGGTAGCTGTTTAACCTTTCCAAGAACTGCCTATTTTCCATTTCCACCAGGACTGAAGGAGGGTTCTAATTCTCTTATTACTATTTTTTTTTTTTTTTTTTTGGATGCAGTGTTGGGGATTAAGCCCATCCCATCAGGGCCTCACATAGCTAAGCCTCTTCTGTACCACTGAACTACATCCCCAACCTCCTCCCGGGGCCCTGCCCCACTTTTTTTTTTTTTTTTTTTTTTAAATAAGATAGGAATCTCTCTGTCTTGTCCAGGCCAGTTTGAACTCCAAACTCACATGAGTCTCCTGCCTGAGCATTTGGAATGCTGGACCTAGTGGGCTACTGTGCCTAGCTCCTTTATCTGTTATTAAATGGGGGTGTGTATCTTTTCTTATTATGGAATTAAAAGAATTATTTATATATTCTAGATATATAGTTTGAAAATAGATTTCTCTCAGTGAGTCAGTCATATTTTCACTTATGTCTTAAGCAGAGTTTTAACTTTTGTCCAGTCTGTTTTGTTTTTCTTTATAATTTTGGTGTTACATCTAAGAAACTGTTGTCAAATTTATGGTCTCAAAAAATTAAACTGATTTAAGACATGCATTTATTTACTTACTTATTTATTTGTGCTGGGGATTGTACCCAGCGCTTTGCACATGCTGGGTAAAGGCTGCACCACTGAACTACATCCCCAGGCCTGAATTAAGTTTTGTGCATGGTATGAGGTGGGGGTCCAGAGTCTTTCACTTTGGATTAGAAGTTCATTTTCCAGTCAGTTGTTTTTGTGAGCTTTGAAACTTAACATGCTGATAGGATAATACATGAGTGTAGGTTTCAGCCCATCACTGGCTGCCCTTGGGGAGATTCTTTTTGTTAGTACACATTTGCAGTGATGACATTCAACACAGGGACTTAGTACGTGTGCATAACACATCTTAATTCTTTTTTTAACTTGCTCTTTGGGTAGATTTTTGAAGATGCACCATTACTATACTTACAATTGTAGTAGCCAGAGTGTACTAAGCAATCAACAGGTACTGCAGAAAGAGAAAGAGCAAATAGCTGGGTCAGGACCTAGGTAGGAAAGTGAAGGCCAGTCAGGACCACACTCTCTTTCCTGGGTGGAGAGCTAAGCGCTGGTTCAGGTTACTCTGCTAGGGCGTTTGGTTTTCCCCACAGTGTGTGCCATGGAGCAGTGTGGTACCCATTGAGGCTGATGTGTGGTCTTGGGGACTAGGTTGTGTGTTGGTGGACTGGCCAGCATGGGGGCTAAAGTCCTGTTCCCCATTCAGGAACTGCATGGTCGCTGGGAGTGCAGTCTGCTTCCTGTGGGCTCCATCTCTGCACATGTCGCTCATGTGGCTCATGTGACAGTACCTACAACACTGGCCTTTCCTCCCAGGCTCATTACGGATCCCTTCAGAGAATGTTTCCCTTAAATCTCTTGTAAAAACTAACAATAATAGAACTGTATTGTTCTTAGCAGCATTGTGAATTAGAATAAAGAATGGAAAGGTACCAGGATTATAGCAGACAGGAAATGCAACTAAGGCAGTCATTTCTGTTTCCATTAAGAAATGCTGTGTAGTTGTCTTTTGAAACATGTCACTTCTTTTATTTTTTTTTTAATTTTTATTAGTATACATTTGCAATACACAGTGATGACATTCTTCATGGGCAGTTGGTGCATGTGGGTAACATCTAAATTCTTTTTATGCGCCCCTCCCCCATCTTTATTAAGTTCCTGTGTTGAGCTTTTTAATTAGTAAGATGAAGATCTTCCTAAAACCTTTTTATGCTGGGGAGGATTCCTGAGGTACTCTACAAAGCTCTGGAAAGATAGATTTGCCCAGAGGGCCTGGCAGCAGATGTCTGTTTTCACCCTTAATCTTTTTATAGACAGAAGCATTCCAAATGTCTGGACACTCGGTGTTGGCTTATTGTGTTTTAAGTAGAGTTTTGCAAGCAGCCATTCATCACTTGGGAAGAAAGTGTTGTGTATTGTGAACTTTTTAATGTTCTTTCCCCAGGGTCCTAAGGGTAAAACCACTTTACTGAAAAGGAGTGGGAAGTTGGAGGGAGAAGCACCAACAGTTTTCTAAAAAAAATTTCATTGTTGAAAAACAAAAGTCAGGGGCTAGGAATGTAACTCAGTGGTCCAGTGTTTTCTTAGCAAGTACAAGGCCCTGGGTTTTAGGCTGAGCACTAAAAAAAGTTCAATTAAAAACCGAAGCCAAGCTGGTTGTGGTGGCACATGTCTGTAATGCCAGCATTACAGAGGCTGGGGTTCACTGTGAGTTCAAGGCCAGCCTGGACTACATAGCAAGACCCTGTCTCAAAAAAAACAACCAAACAAACACACAAACTGAAGTCAAAGTTTTAGTGTTGCATCTGTCTTAGAAAAGGAAATTTCAGAAAGCTCGGGAACTAGGGGTAGGAGGCCTTTCTCAGGGGAGTCCTTCACCTCTTTCCCTTGTGTTCTGCATGTGGCAGGAACCACTAGGCCTGATGGTATAAAGCAGGTGGAAGGTCTCCCCTCCTAGCTTGTGATGCTGGTCTGCAGAAAGATGATCCGATAGGCGTAACTCTTTTTCCCTGATGAAACTGAAAGAGGCAGGCAGCTGACTATTGCATCTTCGACTTGGGGTGAATGGCAGTTTTGCTGGCCCCACAGTGGCTCTTGTCCTTGCCAGTGACTAAACCTGTGGTCCCTGGATTTCTGCCTCTAGGCAGCTGCCCTGTGGAGGACACCGTGTTGCTCAGGGCAGGAAGCGGCCATGCACACAGTGTAACTTTTCATCTGTGAATGGATGATTGGGACCAGACTGTCTGGTCATGCCTTTCAGTGCTAAGGCTTCTTTATCTGCTCTTTAAAATCTGCCAAAGGCAAATCACAGCCGGGAAATTCTTTTTAGGGGGCTGGTGGGGCTCAATGCAGTGGCTTCATGTATGTTTATTTATTTTTATTAAGTTTATTGGTATAGTTTAGATACACATGATGATCACATTCATCATAGGGACTTTGTACCTGAACATAGCGTACCTTGATTCATTTTTTTCCACATTCCCCTTGCTTCCCTTCAGCCCCTATACCCCTCCTTAGCTATTAGTCCTTTGATAAGAAACAATTGGCTATTTTTTTTCCTCACTCTGTGAGTTGTCTCTTTATTCTGTTGATCATTTCTTTTGGTGTGCAAAAGCTTTTTAGTAAGATGAGATCCCAGTTGTTGAATCTTTATACTTTCCATGTGATTATGTTTTTTTGTTTGTTTTGTTTTATTTATTTATTTATTTTCTTCGAGTTAGGGCCTTACTGTGTAGTTCACATTGGCCTTAAGCTTATTATGTAGACCAGGTGGGCCCCTAACTCGTGGTGATCCTCCTTCCTCAGCCTCCCCAGTGCTAGGATTACAGGCATGTGCCTCCACTCAGAGTAATAGGTTTTGTTGATAGAGTCTTTTCCTACACTTGTGTCTTCAAGAGTTCTACCTGTTCTTTCTTCCAGCAGATTTAGTGTTTCTGTTTTAATATTGAGGTCTTTGATCCATTTTGATTTTAACATCTGGGAAGTTCTTGTCATGCTTGGGCATCTAGAGGAGGTTCAAGGTGATTCTCATTTGAGGGGCATTGTATAGGTCCTGCCCAATGGTGGCAGATGGGTCTTCACCTAGAGGAGGAGGCAGGAGTCCCATGTAGAGCTTGAGAGCAGTGCACCATCATCCCTCTCACTGCCCTCTGAGATGTGGCCGTTAGACCTAGGAGACCTAGAATGGAAGCTTGGAAGGAGGTTCTCAGGCTGGGAAGGGCTTTTGTCCAGGAAACACAAGCTGCAAGAGCTGTTGTAGTGCTGGAGGAGGGAGGGTTGGAATTCTCAGTTCAGCCTGGGGCACAGCTTTGGTTGGTCAAATTAAAAATTATTTTAATTAGTACATCTCTCAGTTACTTTATAACCTCAGTGAAATTTTATGATTATTTTCATTCTCTCTGGAAAATGTATCCATTCTTAACAATTGTTTAAAAGCCCTTGAAGGTTTGAAGTTACAAACAGCATCTTATTGGTAACTGCAGATGCAGTCATTGTTCTCTATAACAACAAACCTTACAGAACCAACTTAAAGTGCTATGAATAAAGGTGACTGCTTTCTAAGCCTCCTAACATAGGAGGAGTTGCATCTTCTGTGCTGTGCATTTGCCCCAAAACATGACAAGGTAGCCCTCTACTAAATGATTTGAAACATTTATTAAATCATTAAAGTACTTGAAATCAAAGGGTGATGTTTATAAAGATTTACAACAAGCTGAGCTCTTAATTCTCAGTTGTTTTTATCCCTACAGCTGTCATTTAGGTTTAGTGATGATGGAAGGGCGTTTGGTCATGTGGCTCCTGCCCTCCATGTGTTGCGCTGGCATCGTGGTAACCTGGGCCTGAAGGTGGCTGTGCTTACTCTGTAACCTTGGTGCTGCTCTTTCAGATGTGGAAAGCATCAACAGCCTATGCTGTGTCCATCACCCAGGACGACAGAGGAGCTGACAACTGGGGGACCGACCCTGACTTTGTGGTAGGAGTCACCAGCCTGCCTGTGCTTTGCGTTTCTTTGAAAGCGATTTTCCTGTGTTTTGTTCATTTGTGTGTTTGTGTTCACAGTCGTGGGTGTGGGGTTTACTAGTTGTTTTTCTTTCCCGAATGATGTGAGCAAAAAGGAACAGAGATCCTGCAAGGGTCCAGGCACCAGGAACACATCAAGTAAGAGCCTCTGCAATGCTGTCGCGAATGGGGGCCCCTCCGCACACTCAACCAGTGGGTCTTCCGCAGGATGGGAACAGGCCCCAGCAGGGACATCTACTGCTGACAGCTGAGGGGGCCAATCAGGCGTCAGAGTTGCTTTTGCTTATGGTATTGACTTGGTGTTCATACAGCAGATGAATGAATATAAGACGTGGCACCTAGATTTAATGCATGGTTTTATGTATATGTGCTTACACGTGTAATTGGCCACCAAGTTAAAATGTCCACAATAGACAAGTTTCCTCATTTACAGTTCTGGGACTCCTGCTTCTGCATTTGGTGATTTTCATCAGGGCCCACGGTTGCCTAAGTTCTTTCTCTAAATAGGAGGCTTCTCAACTGTGAGATATCATTGGATACTTTAGATCTTAAACACCCTCCTTCCTTTGATTATTATTATTACTATTTTTTCCTCCCTTTTATTATTGTCTGAAAATTATGGTGCTTTGCAGGATTCAGTCACTGGGGTGTTTGAACTGAATTCCAGGCTTTGAGAAAAGCCTAGAATAGGATACAGCGAGCTGTATCATCATTTCTGATCCGGCACTATCTGAAATGCCAGCTCTGGGCAGCTTGTTTTCTCTCAAGAAGCGATGATAAAAGGGCCTTTAAAATCATGCGCAGAGGTTGGTTTTAGGCCACACTGGTCAGGATTGGTTGTCCCTGTCCTGTATTGTAAAGGCAGCACTGCTGACCTGGTGACCTGCTTTGAAACATGGGGAATGTTCCTGTCTTACTTGGCCACAGTATCTGGTAGAGGAGGATACAGTAAATCACCTGGAACAACAGAGTCTACATGGTGACATTTTAGACTATCACCTTTTATTTTTTGTATTTTTTTAATGAAACAAATTCTTACCATGTTGCTTAGGCTGGACTCAAATTTAGTCTTAAGTGTTGGTCTCTCCTGGGCTTGCCCAGCCCACGTTTCCCACAGAACTGAGTTGAGAAGTCAGAAAGCTAGGAGAGGGGATGAAATGGTCCTGGCAGGAACACCTGCCCCAAGTTGGTTACGTCATCTGGACCTCTTCTATTCTTGGTGGCCTCAGCATGTTGGGCAGGGAGTATGGACTGTCTGGGACTGCAGCATCTGGATGAATTAAGGTTCCATGAGGAAAGTGTGGGGATGGGATCGTTTTTGGCACCCTGCGGCTCTTCCCAGAGTTCTGGAGAGGCTCTTCTTCTCTTGTTCATGGAGGGTCAGTTAGTTTCCAGGCCTGGTATGTATTTTAGCCACATTCTTGTGATGATTGTCTTTGTGTTGATGGTGTGGGCCTTGTGTCTTCTGGGCAGAAGGGCTCTATGCCCAGGTAGCTGTTGTGCTGCTCTGGGTTCTCATGGTGACAGCTCTTTCCTGGCTTGCCAGATTTTGACTAAATCTTGTGATGTGCCTCCTGCCTTTCTGTATTTAAAATAAAAAGTGGCTCTTAGGTGATAAATTCTGAATGTCTGTCTTGACAGGTATACAATGCTTGAGTACCTCAAATAAAGACAGACTGTCATAGGTATCCTTGGTGGCCTTGGAGATCTGGAGGAAGGGACCTTGACTTTATCCCCCCTTCTGCCTCCTGATGGTGTTTGTAGGACTTGTGTTCCTAACCCATTTGTCTACTGAAGTTAGCGGCCTTTCTCCAAATGAAATGGAGTTCAAGTTTTAGCTGAGTACCTTTGGGGCGGAGTTGGATGAGACCATGGTGTGCATTTGGTACAGCGTTCCTCCTTCCATCCATTTCCGCGCAAGAACCGCTGAAGTGGGTGCCCAGCTTCAGGATAGTCAGGAACATACATAGAAGGTAGGCAGTTGATCAGCACCAAAAAAAGAAAGCTTTCAAGTTTGCAGAGGTGATGTTGCCTGTCTTTATTTATCCCATTGCAAAACAAGGATGCACATCCATTTCAGAGTTTTTTTCTTTCTGCTCTTACCTTTCTTCTCAAGCATATACAAGATAAGAGAAAACGTCTTTCAAGAACATCACACTCTCAAGGAGAAGGAACTTCAAACAGGACCAAAAGCCTCCCATGGCTATGGAGGGAAATTCTGCGTGGAACAGTACAGCATGGACAAAGTAAGTGGGCGACGGCTGTCTGTGCTGGGTCCCTGGCTTTGTGGGCTGCTTGTGGTGGGCCATGTAGTCCTTACGTTTTTCCTTAGATTAAATGTGTCAAGTTGGTTTGTCAGGGGTGAGATCTGTTCACAGTGGGTCTCTGTCAACTGACCCCACTCACTAAACTCTCTGGCTTTTGGAAGTTCCCAGAGGTGCTGGTGAATGGTAGAGAGACCCTAAGAGGAGATTAGCTGGACTTTGTAAATGGAACAAAGTCCAGAAACAACTGAGCTGCAGATGTCCTAGTCAGCCCTACCTGTGGTTCCAGCTTATGGCCCAAGTTGTACCATTCCGTAGAGTAACCATACCTGTGGGCCCCTCATCACATCATTCCTGGAAATTGTGCTAGCATGTACCTGACATCCCATGTGGCTTTACTGACCTTTGCATGTAGCATCAGCACCAACCAGGTGGCTTCTGTGAGCAGTCAGTGATGGGACCAGGCTGCCAACACCGAGCAGATGCTCATGGCAGCTGCTGATGAGCACAGCCACCTTTATGGCACTGCACATTGTTCCACCTAAGAGCAGGCGAGTGTTGGCTCGAGACAGCTGGCTGGTTTCTCCCTGGAGAATAAACAGTGCAGATAGCAGCACGTCTGTCTTGTTTGCATGTCTGCCGTAAAGCAGGGCAGACTTCTGCAGACACCCTTGCAGCAGTGAATTTTCAGGTCTGAGCAACTTGGTGTTGTTCAGACTGGACTGATGTGTTGCCTGCACTGTGGACAGAGGTAAAAGGATCAGCTGGCATTAGATTCTGGTGGGTAATTCCATACCTCTCCTCCTGTTGCATGAATCGAATTAAACATCTGAAGCTGGAGGCTGACTAGGTGCCATCTGCAGGAAAGAGACATGGACATTTGCTGTGTCACTTGTGCTTGTCCCACAGAGATGTCCTAATGGTGAAATAGATAGTGTGTGCAAAAGAATCTCCCTGGGGCTCTGGATACGAGTCTGGTAGCCTTTCAGAGCAGCAGAGCAAAGTGGCAGACAGAACCTTCCATCAAGTAGGTGGCTAGGCTTGTGCTCACTGGAGGTCATGGGGTGTTAGTGCAAAAAGAGGCTGACTATATCGGGCCCCAAGTTAGGGTTAAGGAAAATGATCCCGGTTTATACAGCACAAGTCTGATTTACAATGATTTCTCTGCTGTTTCTTGGGCTATGTCTTTTGTTGGCCTGGATCCTGCTTATCCTTGAGCCTCCAACTTGGGCTTTTTCTAGCCGAGAAACTTTCCTAAAGAGCCCATCTCTTCCTTCCGCCTAACTTTCCCACCCTGAGACCCCGCTTCTCCTTCATGCTGGCCTTGGCTTCCCCTTCAGTTGTTGCTGCCACGTTGTGCTGTGGTTTGCAGTGAGACTCTTCTCTGGCCTGGCTTTTCAGGGCCAACACTCATCATTCTCATCTGTGGGTGACTTGGTGTTGTGCAGGGTGCTCAGGGACATGTGGTGAGTGTGCAGAATCATGCTTTGTGGCTGACACACATACATGCAGGTCCTTACTGGCTCAAAGAATCACTCACTTCTGAGAGGGGCTGATGATAATCCTGCAACAGTGGACCTGGAGAGGGTTGTTGCCTCTGCTGCTTCTTAGTGCTACTGTTCTCTGGGCTTACATGTCTAAGAATATTCAGCTTTCATCTCATGTGAGCACCATGAGACCAGCCTATTTTCAGAAAGAACTGACAGTTAACCTGGGAATAAGTGCTTAAACTCTTTGTAACTTGCCCTGTCTAGAACCTGCATAAATAGTAGTGAGGTCCTTCCTTGTGCAAAGAATTGAGGAACTAGTGACAGACACTGCCAGAATCATATTTTGAGGAAGCACAGGAGCTGTCGGGGCTCTAGTTGTGCCATTGTCTGAGCACATGGCCAACTTCTTCTGGCTTCCTGTTTCTGTGGTCTCTGCTGCTTCTTATACCTCAGCCTTCAGGGTGGAGCTCCATTTGCACAACTGTGTAATAACAAGTGTGATTGTGCCAGTAGAAGATTAAAGATGCTTTAGGAGCATGTCTGTTTCAGTCAGAAAGCTGTAGCTGTTGCCAAACATGGTGATCCTGACTGTCTTTTTAGAGTCATTTTCATGTAACTTTCTGAGTTACATGAAGTCATGCTGAAGAATCCCTTTGTCACAGTGGCCTCTCGCCACTCCTCACTGGCATTTTCTGGTTGAGATCCTAGAGGTCATGCATGGGGTATGTTACGGTTTATGTCGAGATGTCCCCCCAGAGCCTCATGCAATCACAGGGTTTGTTTTGGAAGTGACTGTATCTAGAGTGTGTGATGCTGGGTTTAAGGCTGTGTGATACTGGTTGGTTTGACAGCACCCTAATCCTAGCAGCCTAGAGTGTAAAATGGTCAGAAAGATGCTATTAAGGCTGTTTGCTTGCTTTTGCTATCTCCTGCTGCTCTGAACTTTTGTCCCTGTGCCATGTACAACCCTGTCTCGGAACCAGCTATGGACTGAAACCTCTACAATGTGTGAGCTTTCTTCCTTTAACTTTGGGTGTCAGGTATTTTATCTCAGCAACAAGAAAAATAACTTAAGATTGGCCACCTGCCGAGCCTCACTGATGTGCTGAACACTGCCCAAGTGGCCAGACCCAGCATCTACCATGTAAACTGGCATAGGTGGTTAAGGTCAGGATGTGTACCAATGGGGCGTGGGCATATGTGTTTGGATGTGTGTGTGTCCTTCCCACACCTGTCACTGTGTTGCCTGTCCTTAGCACGCATGGAGGGGTCCTGGGGGACTATGTACTGTGGGATTAGCTCTGGAAGCCTGGGTCTTAACTGTGCTCAACATCGGGAACCGTTGGGCCCAAGGCAGCATTGTGGTCACACAATCTATCAAGGTGGCTGCACTGGGTAGAAGAATCATAGACACAACCAGAGACACTGTGCTGGTGAAGAGACACAGCTGGGTTCCGAAGAATGTCATTGCTGGAGAGGGCTGCTCTTGAGCCTGGGGTTTGCAGACCTCAAGGTGAAGCATGCCAAAACCCCAGACTCTGCTTCCTTACTTTACTACCTGGTAGACATGTAACATACAGAAGATTCCTGAACCTGTGCTCCCTGTATGATGGGGGCTGACAGTGTTGGTGATTGCGACTCTGGAATGAGCCAGTTTGGGTGACAGCAGCTGGTACCCTGTCTACACTGTATGCATACATTGGTGTTGATTCTGAGTCTGTGTTATTACTAAAATAGACCTTTCTATGCTTTATTGTATTGACAAAATAAATATTTTTTTGTCCTGATTTGTAGTTCTTACAGTATGAAAAAGCCTTTTTTCAAGAGAGTAAATGTATTGCCAGCAATGTCCATGTAAATGGCTCTTAGGAATTGTGTGGTCAGCTGCCATTATCTCTTTTTTCCATGCCCTGTTGCATCCAAAGCTCCACTCTAGGTCAGGCGTTGTGGTGTGAGAGCCCTGCAGCTGCATTGGAGGAGCCCTGCACCAGAGACTCAATGGCTCAGGCTGCAGTTTCTCCCGGGATTCTGGCCATGGGTGCATGGAGGAAATGCCTGCACCTGGGTTGTTAATGTTGTGCTAGGCGTGAGTCTGTGATATTTTATTTTTGGACTCTCTTCCAGTCAGCTGTTGGCCATGAATATCAGTTGAAACTTGCTAAGCACTGCTCTCAAGTCGACTCGGTCCGGGGTTTTGGAGGCAAGTTTGGTGTCCAGATGGACAGAGTTGACCAGGTGAGTGATGGGCACAAGAAGTGACCCCGAGTTCTGCTGAGCACAGTGCCTTCCACCCCAGATGGTGCTGGTGCTATGTGTGTCCTTTGGGTCACTCGTAGCAGTGTGCTGGAAAGGATGTCTAGAGAAGAGCCGGAGGCCTCTTCCCCTGGGGTGCTCTGAGAGGCTGAGCCAGCTGGGTGAGGAAGGGGGGTAGTAGCATGTAAAGAAAGGCCTTTCTCACATGGGCTTAGAGATCCCTGTGTTGCTGTCTACTTACCAGATGGACTGGGGTCCTTCTTTAAGTGCCCTGGGCATAGGACACCCTTAGATTTATTGCCTAAAAATGTGCCAATGGGGACCACTCCCACCCATTCCCTTCATATATATCACTGTGGCAAGTGCTGCTCAGAGTTCGTCCTGTGGAGCCCTCCTTTTCAGGGCTGCAGGCTGGGTCCAGATGTTCTGGCAGGCTCAAGCTTGAGCCTGTTCTGATTCCCTTTGGATCAGAGCCATTAGCCCCTTCCTTCATTTTGTTTCATGGCAGGCAGAGGCCTGGATGTGGACAGGCCTCAGTCTGTGTTCCGACTTTTTGACATCCTAGCTGACTTGGAATTTCTATGCCAAGTGAAATGGGAGTCATGGTAATCCCTCACTCATGGGGCTATGTGGGAAGCAGAGCAGATAGTGTGCCCATATGCCCACCATGGTGCCTGGCTCCTCCTGCTGCTGTTGTTATTAGTATTCATTTTGTTCTTAGGAGAGCTTATTTGAAGAATGCGTTCCTGTGTGGCATAGAGAATTGTTCGAGATGGGGAGTATGTGGCTACAATACATTAGCTGAGCCTGACGTGCAGCAGCCTTCTGGGAAGGAAGCCACGTTGCCCTGGATGTGCTTGACTGTGGTGCCTGCCAGACTGTGAAAGTGTTTTTGTTTTTGTTTTTGTTTTTGTTTTTGTGTGTGTGTGTGTTTTTACCAGCAGTACTCCAGATTGAACCCACAGCCTTGCACACTCTAGGCAAGCACTCTACTACAGAGCTGTACTCCCTTCCCATTTATTCATGCATTCATTCATTGATTCTTTAAGAAGGCAGCATTTCATCTTCGTGCTGGCAGACTGTTGGATCTAGATACCAGGGGACTGGTGCAGGATAATTCCACAAAAGCAACACTCCTGAGTTTACGGAGAGCATAGTATACAATTTAAAAGTGGGCAATACAAAGCAAGTAACAAAATGTTACATACTTGGCTACATGCCCTGAGTTGTATTGTGACA